TTTCCGGCTCAAGGGGGAAGCACAAAAGGAGAGGGAGGCAAAGATCAAGAGTGCACACCTCTCGGTTGTAGTCAAGCGTCCACACCACCGTGTTCAATTTCGGGAAATATTTATGGTGGATGAAATACTCGACATTGAAGCCCATCACAGTCAGGCGCATCCGGGTGAATATCTCCTTCAGGCCCTGCAGGTAATTCTCTTGAACCCTGTAATTCTCACAGAGACTGACGCGTGGAACCATGCGGGTGTAGGCAGGGAAGTCCATGATTCTGCCCCAGACAACCTCGGGAGGGGCTTCTACGTCTTGAATCACCAGGCCCCGCCCCCCCGATCCGGAGGACAGCTGCTGTTTCACGGCCTCGCCTTTTCGAAGTTTCTCGACCTCGGTTTTCTTGAGGCGGATGCTCGGCGGTCCAGGCTTGAAAGGCTTGACAAGACCGTTATGTCCCTGGGGTTTATCGGTAGAAGCGCCCAGGAGGACGGTGGGGAGGAGGAGAGGGAGGAGCAACAGGAGGAGGACGGCGACGGAAAGCGATGGCCGCGGTGTGATCATAAGCTGATGGCTATGGAGGGAATTTAGAGGGAGAAGAGACGAAGAAGATATCTCTCAAGGGGGGGCAAGCAAGGAAGGAAATTTGATAGACGAAGCACGGTGTCCCTCCTGCTCTGGAAATGTGTGCGAGTCGGAACGAACACCAGGTCAAAGCCAAGTAAGAACGTGGATGAAAGAACAAACGTTGGCATTCCGTTTGACCAACATCTCACATAACACCGCAAAAAAAGGGCGAGGCGACGTCTCAGGGTGTCATTTGATAAGAAAAGGGTGTTTGCCGTGTGACACGCGAAAGATCGACTTTTTACGCGTCACTGCAGCGGCCAGGTGTCCTCTTCTTCCCTTCGAGGCCTTCACGCACAACACTTGTCGATGGAAATTCTCCATATTATACACAGAAGGCGCACATGCCGGTGTCAATTTCCTTTGTCCTGGGTTTTGGTGCTTGGCGAGGGTAGGGGGAAAAAGCACGATCGGGTTTGGACAGCGAGTCTCCGCCCTACGGCATTGTGTATGCCGTCGTCCGCGCGTTCACGCGGGCATCTTTTGTCACAATGCTCCCATAGATGACCTGTGCTGTGTTTCATGGAATTGTAGTTGCCGTGGTATATCTAGCTTGGCGTCTTGGTTACGTTCTGTGGCTATTATTGACATACCGTCCCCGAATTTGTGCTACAGGTGCCAGGCCGCCTCTGAATCTGCAAGTTGTACAGTCTTGTAACGCCTTACTGCGCATGATAATACCGATTTCGATCCTCGTTTTTCATTTCATTTAAGACCGGATCTACTCTATTGCGGAAAGCAAGCAACGATTAAATTTTGTAGAGTGCTTTGGAGATGAGCACGTCTCTTTCAGCCCCTCCTCCAACCAGGGAGAGTGGGCATGTGGGTTCCCGCCCTAATTCGACAAGCCAGGAAAAGAAGGAAGGAAGCAAGCGTAGATATGCAAAGGAAGTCTCAGACTCCCTCTGGGCGGATGCATTGGCATATTTACTTGCCATCGTCATCCTCCTCAATTTCTGGTCGGCAGCGTTTTTGGAACTGGTTATGTACGTCGTTTTCTATCCGCTGTGTCCATCGATCTGGTACGTGACACGCATTTTGGGCGTGAGATTCGGCTGGCTTTTCCCCATGCTGTGCCTGAAGTGGTCCAACGTGCGCATCCGCATGACGGGCAAGGGAGCCGCAGCCACCTCCTTGGGAGCAATCCCTCCCTCCCCCTTCTCCTTCTCCTCCTCTTGGCAACGCTACCGAGACCTCTTGACGCCAGGGAAGCTGCCCAGGGCCTTAATCATGATCAATCACTTGTCCTGGGCGGATACCTTTGTCCTTTCCCCCTGGCTCCACGCCCACAACAGCGTGAACGGAGACACTTGCTGGCCTATGTGGAAAGGGTTCATGCAGATGCCCTTGGGGTGGATCGCATACATGTCCGAATGCCCCGTATTGGGGTACGGGAAAGAAGTGGATTTGAAAACGATTCACAGGAGCGTGACACGATTTTTCGAACGGCGGATGACCAAATTTTTCCTCTTCCCGGAGGGCGCCGTGTTCAGAGAAGAAATGCGGTCGAAGTCACATCAATACGCGACTGCCAACAAGCTCCCTTTGCTGGATCATTGCCTTCTCCCAAAGCACGGTGCCTTTTACCGGGCGGGAAAGGAACTGCACCGGCAAGGAATGACGACCCTGGTGGACCTGACCCTGGCCTACCCCCCTGCGTCCTCCCTGTACGACGCTCCCTTCAACGTCCTTGACCTGGTCAAACGGCACGCAAAGCCCCTGTACCTCCCCCTGCATGTCCGCACTTTTGCCATGTCGGAGGTGCCCTGGGACGAGGAAGGGAAGGTGCAGGATTGGCTGAACCAACGCTTTATGGAGAAAGACAAAATGTTGGAGGAGTATTACCAGAACAACGGAGGGGCCTTGGTGGAGGGTGCGGTAGAAGAAGGCTCGCGCTGGCAAGACCTGTTGATGGATCTCTGTGTGTGGATTGTCCTTCAGGCGGTCATGTACGGAGCTCTGTTGTACCTTGGGAGAAGAATGCTGGGATATGGGCCGGTGTGAGTATTGCGGTGTGCCTGGTACGGTGGCACTTCAGGTGAATATGCACAGTTCGGGCTGTTGAAGATGCCTCAATATTTTGATGGGAGACGAGGCATAGAATGACGCCTGCAAAGTCTTCAGGAGGGAGGGGGGGATGAGAGTCCAGTGCCCTTCTTCAGCTTGTGATAAGTCGCACGGCGTGGTGACGGATATAAGACAGGTGTAGCATGGTGAAAGGAGAAGAAGCGCAACGGAAACGGAGAATTTTCGGCTGGAGAAAGCCTCGCAAAATGAAAAAGAAACAGAAATGTCGCGTGGGACCCGGTCGAATTCCACTATGCGTTTCCTTTACAGGTGCATTAGGCACCCAACATCTCCCCCACCAACTTGGAGACGAGTTTGTTGTCCGTTTTTCCCTTATATCTTTTCATCATCACGCCCATGACTTTTCCCACGTCGCTTTTAGCGCTCGCGCCCGTTTCCTGAATAGCAGCGGATACCCATTCCCGCGTAGTAGCCTCGTCTGCTAGTTGGGGCAAATACGTCTCCAAAATGGCCAGTTCTGCTTTTTCTGCTTGGACCATGTCGTCGCGATTTCCTTTAATAAACATTTCGATCGATTCCTGACGTTGCTTGCGTAGTTTTGTCAATATCAAAATGGCCTTTTCATCGGGCAAGGTTTCCGCAGCGCCCTCTTCTTTCAAAGCATTTCCGAGGGCCGACTTGATGTTTCGAAGGGCACTGAGCTTTTCCTTGTCTTTGTCTTTCATGGCTTGTTTGACGGCAGTGTTGACATCTTCATAAATGGAGGCAGAAAGGCGAGTGCTGCCTTGATAGTGTTTTACTAGATGAGTGGTGGGAGGCGCCAGTAGGAAGGCACTCGGCGTTGTCATGCACGCCAAGACCAAGGCGATGCTCAGCCAACTTTTCTGCATGGGGCTGTGCATGTCACCAACAGATTAAGGGAAGGTGGTGAGGACAGCTATACGTGTTCGGGTACTGGAAAAATTTAGGACATGGCAAGCGGATGGGAGAAGGAAAAGGTAGCGAGAACTACAACTTGACGTAGGGCTCAAACTTCAAGTGGAAGTGATGAGCATGGGGGAAAAAATAAATAAAAGGAAATCGTGTCCGTCAACTAAATTAGCGGAATTCTATTGATGTATTAAATGATTAATCTTATCGTCGCTTAATCTTGTTTTGGAAATTTTACGGGCAGCCTTTGACGATATATTTCTCCATTTGCTTCGCTTTCTTCTAGGAACGGGTTCGCCATCGCAATGCCTGTCGACCTTGGTGCTACCGTCAATTTCCCACGACACACTCTAGAATAGTGCTCTCATACCCGCTTGGGCTCCAAAAAAGGCACTGGGAAAAAAAATCCCACAGGTCTACCTCTTCCCGCATCGCTTTTCAAGAATGTCAGCCGGCCGCCACTTTGTGGATGGATGTGGCACGCTCGGAAAGTTACGCTAAAAAGATCGAATGTCCCCCTTTACGGCAAATCGCAGGCAAAATACGGTCATATTTCTCGCCTTAGGTAGTTTAGGGGATGTTTTACCCGTCCTGGCCGTCGCACATCGTTTCGGGCGCAGGCTCGACCGCCGGGGTCCTTGTCCTTCTCCAAGGAAACACCTTCCGGCCCTTGTTTTCATCACACATACACTCTACCTCCCCCGTCTCAAGACACTGCTCGAACGGGCCCTTCCTCGGCTTTCGCAGGCACCCGTGCTCCACATTGAAGGGATTGACAGCCCACCCCTTCCCCTTCGGAGGGCTGGACCCGTCTCGGTCCCCGACGAGCTCGAGCAATGCCTGGCTGCTTGCCGCGGCCATGCACCCATCGCCCTCTTGGCGTCCAATCTCGTTGCTCGCTTCGGTGTCCACATTGGGGAAATCCTGGGCGCTGCCTC